ACTCGCAGGGAGGGAGGAGGACGGATATTTGTGGAGAGACTCCAGTATGATAAGTCACCTTCTGGGGATGAGAAATCATTTCTCCCCGCTTGCACCAAAACGTCCTCTAATGTGTGTCTCCATATGTCTTCTCCTCTTCTCCTGTGAGGTATCTGGAGGGATATTTCGTGAGGAAGTCAAGTGAAAGCACATGTGGGCCTTGACCAAGTGTGTAGAGCAGAGACCTCAGGCCTCCTCCACCTTTCACTTAGCCATAACCGCACCACCCAGACAGTGCTCTGACAGCTGATCTGGACACTGCTGTACCTGTCTCTCCTGTTCAGTCTATAGGTTTGCAAAGGAGAGGGAAGAGAAATCCAATAACAGACAAGACTGACAGCTACGGCACCGGCTGATGTGTGGTAATGGTTTCGGAGATTTTTAGGGTTAGCCTACTTCAACAGCATTAATAGCAGTCCATCGGAAAGACTGGTTATTTGCCACTTAGGTAAGATGGAGGGCTTTCACTGCAAGAGAGGGTGAAAGATTTGTTTGAGGGAACACATATGAAACAGGAGGTTTGGGGCTCCTCTGTTTGGAAATTGTGTGCATCAAACACTTAATTTCTTGCATTCTGATGAATTTTAATGCACCAGTTTGTGCGTTTTCTGCATCAATTCATGGTGTAAATGTCTATTTTTGTCAAAAGTATTCAGCTACTTTCATGTTTTTACTGTGGAGCACAAATGCAAATGTTCTGAATATTAACAAGGGATGTGTCCCCTTTGTCCCCCATGAAATATAAGCCTATGATTACAAGGGTGTTTTTGATGGGGCTTTGAGTAACAGATCAACAGCACATCATCACCTATGACAAGGGTCATGTATTTTGGTTTCTATCTGGAGTGGATGTCCATTTAGAGACATCAAATGCCTCCACTTTCAGGAAATAAGGACTCCCCTGCTGTCTAGACCATTCTACAAAAATCTAATTAAATAATTGCTGAGTCATACAATCTTGTTTTTGTCTAAGCAGATGGAAATCTGTCATAAAGTTAATTTTAGACTTAAATTTCTGCATCCAGGACTTCTATTTAAAAACAATAATACTGCTCCTGGCACTTGTTTAATAAATGGTGTGGAGAAAGATCATTTTAATGATATACTAGTTGATGTTTCAAAATAGCCTACCATGAGACTCAAAATGGCGTTTGCTGTTCACTCTGGGCCTGCAGCTGCCTTAGCTGCATTTCACCGCCAAAAGGGTCACAAGTTATGAAAACATCAATCAAAACGAGCACGAAACACAAAATAAAACTTTCCACAAGCCTGCTTTTGGATTTGCTGCCTGCTAAATTCATTTACTGAAGCGCAGCTTTGAGGACGCGCAGGCTCGCGGAGACAGACAGGAGAGCAGCTAATACCATTAATGAATGGTGGAGCGCTAGTTGGTTAACTAACTTACCTCTGAATAATGTGTTTCTTACGGGGCCACTCGGGCCACGGTTGATGGATGGCCTTACAGAAGCCGGGTCAATTAGCCAGGCTGGGTTTCCCTCCGTGTCGGCAGCAGACAGCACCGGGAGAACTCCCACCTTTGTCACGCGGCCTGGCTGTAATTAATCACCAGTGTGGGGCCTTCTCACCTCACACCGGCGCGCGCACAAACAGCCAATACGTGCGTTTGGCCCAAATTACATCCCCAGTCCTCTGATCTGGCTAATTGTCAATATTATACCCAAAGGAGGAGAGAGATCGTGACATAAAAAGTCTTCTCTACTGGCAAAAACATCTATCCTGCAATACAGCATGCACACTGCATATTTTATAAAGAGGAGGATGTTTGGAAAATGTACTAACAAGGCACACCTAAGACATAGTGAAACCAAAAGAGACAGTTAGGTATATAGCATAGTATAGTAGGCCTATAATATTGTATAGTATATATCTGCACAACAGACACCACTTAATGAGGGGAGAGCGGGGTCAGTTGGGACATTTTGTGCATGAAATAACCTATTACTCACAGACCACTTTAACAGTTATGAAATAATCTTATCTCTTAATAGATGCAGCTGTTTGCCAACAATGTAAGTTCATTTCATTTATTTGACTCATGACCATACCACCTGGTACAGAGCATAAACATTACATACAATAATAACAGAACATTGTCACACGGCATGGCTTAAATACAGCAAATGATACTCAAACGAAGGAAGCACATTCTTTAAAAAAACACCTTAAAAATTAATTTAAACACAGATTTATTGAACAGTTTATTAAGCGTTTTACAGCCTAACCCAAACATGAAAGGCACAATTTTGTAAAATGTACAAGGAGTGCTTGTATCCAAAATTCAGCATCCCTGGGACAGTGGGTTGGGTCCGTTGGGACACATTATTCTGGGCTAAAAAATATACTTTAAATTGATTTTTTTTTTTAAAGTGCAGTCTAAATTTGAGCACCTGTTCACACATTTCTTTTAGGAAATGGAAACACTTGCAAAATGACTCCGCTCTCCTCTGACTAATGCTGTTGACAGTTTACATGCATGCAGGAGTCTGTATGTTAACTTATGATCAGAAACATGCAACATGCATAATATCTGTGTCTTTCACTGTCTTTATTAATGTGCATAAAGTCAATATTTTAAAAATAAGTGATGAGCCTTTACATCTACCTGGATGATAAAGAATTCACATATTTAAAATGATAAAAGTCATTAGGTTTGATAAAAGTTTCCACACAGGATCAGAAACAGGAGGAACACATTCAGTGACTTTTAAAATGTAATTTATCTCGGAAGCATCACTCTAGTTACACGTCTCACCCTGTGCAGCTGTTACTGTGCAGCTCTGTCTCTCCCTCACACACACACACACACACACACACACACACACACAGGTACACGGAGCACAGATTGAGAGGCAGGGACAGAGACGTCACTCTGTGTTCACAGAACATACTCCTGCGGTCTGGACAAAAGCAGCAGGCTGACAGATGAGGTTTGTGTTTGTGGGGGGGCAGGGGAGCTATGTGTTGCTGCTGCTGCTGTTGTGTGTGCGTGTGTCTCTGTGTGTGTATGTGTGCACTTATGCATATGTGCATGCATGCATGTCTGAGCCTATGTGTGCCCCTATATGTGAATGTGGCTGTGTGTGTTTACATGTGTGTATATATGTGTGTGTATTTTGTTGGGGGGGTGGTGTGGGGGTGGGGGGTGGGGGGGTCTCATGGGGCAGCTCTGTGTCTGTCCCATCTGCCACCCCACTCTACTGACACCCAAGGGAATGGCAGAAAGGGTGGGGGATTCATTTTGAAAAAGGGAATCAGGGGTCCAGTGGTCTAATGGGCAACAATGCAGGTTTTACTGACGGGCCAAAGGCAAAGGACACCGGCTGGGTGTGTGGAAGCCAATCTACCAATCTATTTGACAAAACAGTGGGCCACCCCTGTCAAGCTCTGCCTCCGTCTGCCTAATAAGGCACGAACACCCCTGAAATTGTGCCTCAAATGAAAAAGGGGTGCACTGTATTTTACACACACACACACACACACACACACACACAGGCGATGCATACACCCGGGGCTAATGTCAGCCTAATGCATGGCCATGCTGTGGCCGGAGGGCTAATTGGGTATATAAACACAAACACATCCCTTGAGAGGCAGGAGGGGAAGGGTGTATTTGGTGCTATATGCTCCCTGTATTGTTAGACAGACAATACTGTAACTTAAACATGGAAGCACATCAGTACTTAAGCAGTGTCGATAATGAAAGATGACATGGTGTTTGCTCTCATATGCCCAGCAGCTTGATGTGCTTTTTGAAGCTGAGCACGCAGTGTGATGTGGAACGACTCGGTGGCAGGTGGCATCTCATCCTGTCTTTATCCAAACTGTGATCAGAAGACGGTAAATGGCGCTGCGCCGCAGTCTCGACAACAGCAACAACAAAACAGTCATGTGGAAGAGAAGCATATGGCTCTTGCACCACTGGGCAGAAGGAGCACTCAGCAAGATGAATGCTGAGGTGCTGGGAACAAAGCTAACTTTAACTTGTCAAATTAACAGCATATCAAAAGAGAGAGAGAGAGAGATGAGGAGGAGAAGAAGGAAGAGGCAGCAGTCTGAGCTTTTTTTTGACACGTGCCACTTGATGGTGACAAAGACAGCTCAGAGAGAAACAGTGACTCACTGCTGGGGTCAGATTTCAGACAGTGTCAGCAGCTGTTTGAAGTCCACATGTCTCTCACTGTCTCCGAGCTGAGTTGTTGATACACTGTTTGTCCATACATGTATCATACAAACACACACACACACACAGACGTGCATCCACTGGGTGCTACCCTGCCCCCTCACTGCTTTGAGCGCTATGTTAATGAAACAGTTGCTGTTTCCTGGCATAACATTAATTACCCGATCAAAATAGAGTGGGTAATTAACTGCCCTTCTTTACCAGTGCTAATTACATTAGCAGAGAAGGGCCATTTCAGGGGAGCAAAAGAGAGGAGAGAAAGAAAGACGGGATGAAGCAGTACCAAACAAAGACCGGAAAACAAGGCAGTAGTGAGGCACATGTCTAGGCGTGTGTGTGTTTTAAGAGAGAGAAAGAGACAGAGAGGAGGAGGCCACGTTGGAGGGAGACTCATGTGGTTCTCACTCGGGCCCCCAGAGGCTCGGTCCTCAGAGAAAAGCAGGCTTATTGAAGAGGAGAGAGATTGGGGGTGGGGGGGTGGGGGGGGGGGGTGTTGTTGTTTATCTTGACATGCTCTACTCAGTCTTTAACGCTCGCATCACAATTAAGATGCTGCGGCTCATCAGCTATGTATACAAAACAGTGTAGCAAGCTGCACGAGCACACAGGTGATGGGCACATTCAGAAATAGATCCAGCACAACCCTCAGATGTGGAGGAAAATCTTTATGTCCAGGAAATTGTGTGTGTGTGTGAGTGTGTGTGTGAGGAAAGACGTACTTACTCTACAAATAACTTAAAACAACATTTGTGACTTTTTTCTTATTTGTTTTATTTGGAGCACAAAATATAATTACACCTTGAGATATACAAATCACATTTGCACCATTTTTTGTACCGTTTCAAAGAAAGATGGCTTCAAAAAACATAATATTAAATTGCTAATAATTTTTTTAAATAAATAAAATTAACCAAACTCTAAAAACAAAATTTGCAAAAATGTCATCTACTCTTTGTGTTCTTTGTTTTTCACGTCCTGAGAATGAAGTTTGTGTTGTGATGATAGAAATCAGTGAGTAAGAACAGCATGATGTGGGTTAATGAACACCTAATACGCCCTGTTCTTTTCAATTGAGCAGTTTGTGCTTTCGTTTCCTGTACTGCATAGTGACTAGAGACCTGTACTGGGTTGAGACATTTAAAATGAAGCTGTAAAATCTATAAGTTATAGTCATGTAAATTCAACTTTGCAACGTGGAATGAAATAATATCAGGGCATCGATGTGACAAAGCATGCATTATAAGTGAAATTAAAAAGGATAAGGCTAACTAACATTTCCCCTTTACACAAGGACCATACCCTCCTGTAGATGCCGGCATAACATTCAGATTTCTGTTATGCAAGAACCTGAAAACTGGGGACGTTTTATTCCAAAAGAGTGTGTTAGAGCTTATCTTCTCCACCCAAAAAAAGGCAATTCCCTATGATCATTTAGCAAATTAATTAGCAATTGTTGAGATAACTTCATTTCAGTAAAAGTTGGAAAAGGACCACTTTATAAAAACACGTTTATATTATTCCCTAAACTACCTATAATAAGTTAAATTGCTTGTTCTTAAATAAATCAATATATGAATTCCTTTCGTAATAACCATTGAGACAAAGAGTTCTCCCTTGTAAAACCGTAGAGATCAGAACAAAAAATAAAGGGTCTATTTTTCTGGAATGTAAATTTTCTTCAAAAAAGTCTACTACAAAAAAACCTCTCGCTAACTCACAGACAGTGTACACACATGCCATTTAAGGTGTCCATACTCAGACAAATAGCACCCTGCTTCTTAGAGCTGCAACATTATACCAGAGTTGTCCGTCAGTGCTCTCGCAAACGCATCCCGTACGTCTCTGGCCGAGGTTCGGGCAGGCTGTTGAAGAATAGATACTGCATGTGGTTGCGGGCCAGAGGTAAATACAGATGCTTTCAAAGCTTGAGTTTGTTTCCTTTCAAAAATGCAGACACTTTATGACACACGCAGCGATATATGGTCCAGTCTGGTGCTGTTAGCTAAGGAGCTTTATCTGTCTGTAGTTGTGGGTGAAGTAATGTGCTCTGCCTCTGGAGTAGATGGCTGGTCTTTGGACATTTTCGTATCCCGTCCTGTTTCATCCACCTGGATGAAAACGAGACTAAGAAATGGCGTTGGGGCTCAGGAGGGAAACTTATACATGGTCACTAGTGATCAATTTTCCATTCTCCCTTCCCTCTTAATGCCAAAAGAGGGGCTAAGTGAAGCAGTGGTCTGGGGTAGATTGGGGCGGGTGCTTTGCTACATCGGGGGAACAACCAGGCCCGTCATCGCTGGAGAGAAAAAAATATACAAAATCTATGATTCTAATCAATCAGGTCTTGCATTATTGTACATCCAGCAACTTTTTTTCCCCTGTCTTGTTCAGTCAAAGCTTTCGAGCGGTTAGTACAAGGGGTTAGACTGCATTCGTGAGTTCAGACAGGGGGGTCAAATAGTGAGTTGGATGGCTACCTCTGAAGCTGTTCCCCCCTGAGGCAGGGCAGGCAGGGGAGGGAGAGCCCTGGGGCCTGAGGACGGGAGCAAAAGCACTCTTCTGTTTAGCAGCAGACGGGAAGGAGGAGAAAGGCAAGAGAGACGATGAGGAGCTGGAGCTCCCAGGTATAGTGGGGCTGGAGGGCATTACTGTGGAGGAGAGAGCGACAGTCAGTCTAAAGTCTGAACATCACAGCGGACTCAGATATGTGAGGTTTATTAGTACACAAATAGGGTGCTGCAGGAATGAGTCATAAAACCCAGAAATTTGTTTTTGCACTTGCGGTTCTCTTGTCTTGAAGTCAGTGGGTTTTTTAAATTAATTTTTGGTTAGATGCTTAAAGTAAGGTCTGTGGTTAACACAATCTTAAGAGACTCTAACATTGTGCTCTACAACATGTCAGTAAATACTCCACTTGTGAATTTTTAGGCTTTTACATGTCTTAAAAAAGGCAGTTGCTAAATGAGACTATAGAATGTCATCATACCGAACACAGCTTCACAGCCTTGTTGTGTGGCGACATTAAATGACCATAGTTCAGTTTGTTTATAGCCTAACATTAACATTTATTGTATTTAGGTTTTAAAAGAATCAGAAAAGTGCTTTTAATTTGAGAAAATTATGTTGCTGAACAAAATGTGTAAGTAGCATAAACTTTTGTTTGCCACAGAACTGATTTTCTGCAGTAATCCAAAATCCAATTTAAAAATCCCATTGGCTTTTTGTCAAGGGAACCAGGGTGATGCTAACGTCCAGGCTGACCCACAAAAAAACATCATCCCTGCAGCACTCTATGTATTAGATCATTATACAGTCTTACTGTAGGGAGAGCCTGTGGGGGAGGCACTGCTGAAACCAGGAGAGCCAGGTACTCCTAGACTGGTCATGGGAACTGTCCCATAGCCTCCGGTCATCCCTCCGCTGCCCCCGTAGCTTGACTGCTGAGGAGTGGAGGCTGATGGGTAACCCCTTGGAGACAAACTGCTGGAATTTCGAATGTAACCTGAAGTGAAAAATAAAAAGGTTGGGTCAGCTCTGAGCTTCATTAGTGGAGGAAAAAAGGTAAGTAGTAATTGGTTTCATTTTGCTCACCTTGGCTGCTCTGCCCATGCTCCCCGATGCTGACGCCTAACTGAGAAGGATAGGAGCCCAGGCCCATGACACTGCCGTGGGCCGGTGAGCTGGGCAGCGCCTGCAGCTGACTGTGAGGACGGGGAACACTGTAGAGTGCCTCGGCGATGTCTGCCGCACGTTTCAGCAGCATGTCCTACAGGAGATACAATGACATGGAAATTAGCGATGACTGGCAGTGTCACAGATATAGAGAGAGGCCAGGTGATGCATTTTTTAGACTGTCAAGATATCACAGGGAGCAGGTGAGCTTTAAAAAATCTCCAAAGTCGAGTATGTCTGAGCTACAGTATGTCCAATTAGTCCACTTCACATTTTGGCAGCTGAGTCAAATCTCAGATGTTGAAGCTTTCGGACAAACTAATGCCACATTTCCACTGCATTGTACAGCATGGCTCTACTTTAACTCGCTCTTTTTTGGTTTTACATCAGCAAAAGCTGTGGATAGTACCTAGCATTTTTTTGGTACCACACTGGTCGAGGTTCTAAGTGAGCCAAACCAATCGACCAACCGAATTGTCACACAACACGAGACATTGTGCACATATCTAACATTTTAAAATAGCCAAGTTACCTTCCATAATGACAGCTATTTTTTTCATTTTTAAAGTCAATCCAGATTTTAAGACTCTACACTACATACACTACAATTGACGAAGTGTAGACTGTTTGGTTGCCGATTAAAGAATTCAGCGAGTGTTGCATTGAGGATGTTGTCATGGCAGTTTCACGCAGCGTTGCTATGGCAATCAGCTGAGAATCCTGCCTACACCAAGGGGGTTCTATCCTCCGTGGAAAATGAAATAGAGAGAAGTCCTGGTACCCAAAGTGAGTCGAGTCAAGCTGAATCATGCAGTAGAAAACAGGGATAACACTGAGTAACTTATTATCTGCTTTGAACTGTATTATCATGCTGGTTTCACTCTGCAATTAAATTACTGAAATGAATGGAAAACCAGTGGCTGCCTCGGAAGTAGGAAGCCAGTTTATACATTAATGGTATGCTTTGGAAAATGGTCAGCAGTAATGTAGCGCATACACCATTAATATTTAATGGGCTAAAACATGCAAAATTACTGGAGTAGTCTTCTACATATCTGCATGTTTTATATACACAAATATGTAATTTTAAGGTATTTGGGATAGTGTTCCAAAGCTGTTGCTGTTCACCTGATTACTGTGTGGATTTCCGTACAGGGCCTCCACGAGATCTGCCGCTCTCTTCAGGAGGATCTCCTGCAAAGAACAGATTTTATTACATTAACATCTTGATAGGAGTGTGGTGTGCAGGGTTCCTTGAAAAATCATCATGACCATGTTTAAGTCTTTTCTATAGGAGTCACTAACCTTGGCTAGTTTCTCTGGGTCACCAGGATGTCGGGGAATGACCTTTTGAAGGCGCTGGAAACCATAGTCTATAGTTGGCTCATTTAGGGCTGAAATAGAAGAAGAAAAGAAACATATATTACAAATAAAATCTTGAAGGGAGTTCATTAAATTCTTATGCTTAAAGACCCTAAAAACCATTGAAAATCCAGGTGCCATTGTGAAATCTAAGCAAAGTGTACAATGTGTTGTCTACATACCTGTGTAGATGAAGCGTCCAGGTGCTCCCTTGCAGAACTGTTTGGATTTATAAGACAGTGTGACCTCCACGACCCCGGGGATGTGTCGAGGAGGTGTCTGGACACGGATAGCATGCGGCGTGATCAGCTGAGGAACAAGACAGAAATTGTGTCACTAAACAGCAACAAATTATCCCCCCCACCACACCTTGTAAATATTTAGGCTAACACAATACTGTGGAAAGATTAATTTGTGTAGACTGCCCATTAATCATCTAAATAATGAGACAAGCCATATGCTATATATATCATTTCAAAATACGCTTCAGAGTGTACCATCATTAGTGAGATGTTTTGGAGACAATTCCTACCTCACTCCACACAAGCATGCTGCCAAACACCACCTGCAGCCCGTCAAAGAAGTTCTCCCCGATGACGATGACCATGGCCCCGCCGGTGGTCCAGCCCTCACTGGGGCTGATGGCTTTGATACACGGGGTGGCTGGACAAGAGAGCAGAGCAAGAGTAACTCTGAGGGCTCCAACACAGGGTTACACAAATTAAAAGATGAGTGGATAGAGTGTGCTTCAAATCTGTTTACTTTAGACATTGTTCAGGCCAAAACTAAAATGCTAATACTATTTCATGGATACTTAATTTTATTTATGTGGCTTTTATCCATGAATAACAACACAAACTGCATGAAGAACAGAATCTCATCCATATCAAATGTAGGTCAAACATCACATGACCTGTAATCATATACAGTGGGAAAAAGCTGCAGTAGAATATGGTGTGCAGAGTACAAGGGCACAAAGGTAGAAAAAGTATTCCAATCCTTTATTTAAAGGGGCAGTTCACCCCAAAAATCAAATCACACATTTTTCCTGGAGTGCTATTTTTTTGTCTAGATTATTTTGGTGTGAGCTGTGGAGTGTTGGAGGTATCAGCCGTAGAGATGTCTGCCTTGTCTCCAATATAATGTAACTAGATGGCACTTAGCTTAAAGCAACAATAAAGTATGCTTGAAAAACATATGTTTGATAATGCAGAGACCTTATTGTGAGCAGTTTCATGTGGGAACTATTTTCTAAGTTTTACAAATATGAAACCATCATGGATCGAAAACTCACTTGCAGTTTGCGGCGTCTTGTGAACACATTTATAGACGTCTCCTTTATAATGGTGGTCTATGGATTGAAGAGGATTTTTTTCACTGTAATACCACAAGTGGCCACTGGGGAAAATTTAAAGCGTTCCTGGAGGTATGAGGCTGAGCTGTAAAAGTAGCTAGCTCAGTGGTTCTGGGTGAGCTGGCAGTAGAAGCAGCTTTTCTTATGCACATTTACGGTTGGCGGGTGTAGTTTGGAAAATAGTTTCTAAATGAAACTGCTCACAACAAGGTCTGTGGATTATCTTGGGTAACCGGGTCATAATTTCTGGAAAGAGACATTGCTTTTAAGTATTTTTTGGCACTTTGAGCACCACAAGCTGAGTGCCATCTACAGTGGATATTTCCAACACTCGGCAACTCACACCAAAACAATCTAGGTTGATAAATAACACTACAGGTAAAAGGAAAAATATGTTTTTTTTTTATTTTGAGGTGAACTGTCACTTTAAGTTAAACTACCAAGAGTATAAATACTCAGTCCTGCATTCAGATCTTAAGTAAAACTACTGAAGTGTGATCAGACAATTGTACTGAACTATTAGATACCTGAGTAGAGTACAGTATTTGAGTAAAATCATGAAGTTACAGAACTTTCCAGCACAATTTATTGTGTATTTCTTGGTTCAGGGATAAATGTGTGTGTGTCATGCTTAAAGAAATTGATTTAAGGTAAGATTTTATTATCATCTTTGCTTTATGTGAAGACAAGTCTGTATTTAATTAATGTATTAATTAGCTCAGTTAATGACCTCAGTAGCACCACTGGTTATGTTTGATATATCACGGTGATTATGAATGGACATTAAGCAACTCAAGTACCTGCTGTAACAGTATATGTCTCTGAGTGTGAATGATGAAGTAGACATGTAATAAAACAAGATAAAAGATGAATGGGGTGTGACACTGTAGTGTTGTAGTGTCAGCGTCTCACCATATTCCATCGTATTCTCCACAGACTCGCCTGGCTCCAGCCTGCGGGCCCTCCGACCGTGCTTTGAGTTGTTGTGGACGAACATGTTGTCGGACACCGCCAGGACATGGCCGTCTACACTCACAGTGCTGGACAAGACCACCTGAAAGTATAAGAGGAGGAAGATACATGAGTGTGTGTGCATGACTTAGACAGCACGCTGCGAGTCACAATCTCCGGTTACAACAGCAAAAAATCCCTGAGCGACAATTTGTTTCGGCGTACAGGTGATGGTAATATTTCTCAATAGGTAATGTGACATCGCCGGGCTCTTCATAATATGTCTGCATTCTGGTGATGACACTGCTCATACACCCCTCCACTCCTCCATCAGGTCTCCATATGGCCTCTCCACTGCCTCTTGCCTAACTTTTTGATTCATACAGCATGCAGCAGACTCATTGCTGTCTCCTCCTGATCCTTCAATGACACCAAACATATGGACCAGATCTCCCATTTTTGCCGGCCGTTAAAGCAGTGGATGATATATGGTGGCCCTAATTTGATTTTCTGGCCGCAGCATGTGTGTGTCCCTTCCCACATCTGCCTCGCATGGACGACACACATATAATTAATGAGAGGATACTTGTAGGTTTTTCTCTGTGGATATTTATGAGTGTAGATGTGATACTATTTCTGAATGTGATAATGAGTTTGTGTTTAAGAGCGTGTTTTTGAGAGTTAGAGGGAATGAGTCAGTGAGGAAATGTCATCTCCAGTTACATAGTAAACAATAACTATTTATAATATGCATTTTTAGACAATCAGACAGCAAAGATAAAACCTGGCACTCCCTTGGAAATAAACACATGGCAGTAATTTTGCAGGTGAGGGAACATAAGAAAGAAAAGGAGAAAAAGCATATGTGCTATAGGCGGTGGAAAGGGAGGTGAACCTAAAGGAAAATAACTGTAAATTATCGATCAAGCAGCAGACTCCTGTCCGGCTCTGATCACCTTTTAACCCAGAGATGAGAGTCTTGGAGCGCCCCGTGTGCTCATAACTTCTCAGCATGTGTCACATCGCAGGAGTTAAAGCAAACATGGTGGAAGACAGAGGGAGCACGTAAGAAGGGGAAGGGACGGAGGGTTTTGCTGGGAGAAGGAGAATGCCAGACAGGGGCCGCTAGTGCTGAAAGACGGCAGAGGAAGTGGGGCGGGAGTGTCCCCTGTGACCACTTCCTGGGTCACGGAGCATGACCTCCTCCATCTGGAGCCAATCACTCAATTCTTGACAACTTCCTGAAACACCTCAACCTATTTCCTGCACCCCAGCACCCCAACGACCAAGTCTCCCACATATCTACCTCCTTTTCATTCAAGTCTTTCCGTCTCTCCGACTCCTTATTGATTTTTAACTTTCACCTCTAACTCCCTCCTCCATGTCTTCCACTGGAAAATCTTTTCGAGAGCTTTACTATGTAAGAGTTTGTGACATAAACTCTACTAGGAACAGACAAGAAATTAATTATTGAAGCGTTCTATTAACATGGAGGGGCATGAAGGGGGTATATTTTGCATGACTGTAAAATATTTTTTCCTAAATTCAGTTCCACATGTCCCACTCACACACAAGCACACACATACATGCTTTTCTTTTTCCGTCTTTTACGTACCTGGAATCTCCTCATATCCCTCGGGTTTCCTGCTGTCTTCAGACAATTCTGGTTACATTTCAGGAAAAACTTCAAGAAAAACCTGCAAAGGTAAACAAGAGGACACATGTTTGTACATCAGCGACGAAGAAATCACATGAAAGAGTCGTGTATATGATTATTTGCTATGCTGGCAGTCAGAAGAGACAGTCATTATTTTTCAGAGACACGTCTTATAGATGGTGTGTGTGTCCCTGTGTGTGCTTATCTATATGATTAGAGCGTTGACATCAATCCCAGCTGTTTAGCTTAGTATTAAAGTCAATGTTATTACACTTTAAATCAAGTGATGAGAATTTGAAGCACAGTCCAGTGAAAAGCGCTGCTGTGTTTCAAAGTAAACTAGAGACAGTGATGTATGCAGGGGACTCAGGGGACCGTGGTATCCCGCAATGCCGTATTTGAACCCCCACATGGGAATGGAGAGGGAACGAAGTAGAGACAACTACAGAGAAAGTGAAATGAGGAGGTGGAAAGAGGAAGGCAGTGATAGAGGCACAGGCACTGGTATGGACATGAATTTTGTTTTCAAGTATATGTGTCTCATTACGTATGTGAGTGTACTTTTGAGGGTGATAGGCTGTGGAGACTGAGAGAAGCAGAGAGAGAGCGGGGTGCTGATAGCCTCTGCTACACCAAAGAAAACCTGAGAGAAAGGTGGAATAAATAGGAGAGAGGGAGACTACGGAGAGAGACTCCAAATCCCAGGTGTACACAGTTCGGCAACACAGCCCGCTGCCATGGCAACACAGCTCTGCCGCAATCCCAAAGTCCCCATGCTGAGAGGCAAAGACAGCGATGGGAAAGAGGGAAGGCAACAACAAGAACACATTCCATCACTGAAATACAGCGAGGAGGGAGACTTGGCAAGGTGAGATGCAGGAAAGTATATAAAGAGGGCAGGTGCAGACGAGGCTGAGAGGATCCACACAAATCTCACACTGAAGAGAAATTAGGCAGAGGATGTGTGTTAAATCAAAAGAAAAGAAAAATGAGCCTGGAAGTGATGCAGCGTTGTGGTAGAATTATGGCAACTGGCAAATATACAGCCCTCAAACCAGATGTCCACTTCACTCTGTAGAGAACACAGCTCTGTCTTGCCAATGAAAAACACATCCATTAATGTTCCAATTAAACAAACAACAACAGTGCTGGAGAAAAATGCTGCAGAGGGAGGCAGCAGTTTTTGGGCTACATGGTTAGCTCCAATCCCACCCACACCGTGCTCTCTGCAAATATAAGTCATCTTAATGGAGAGCGCTTGTTTGGAGAGGAACTTCATATTGGCCCCACAGCCCTGAACCCTCCCATCGAATACTAATCTCTCCCTCATTCTGACAGCTTTTACTCGCTATTCTTCCATCACTCGCTCCAGCTTCCTCCCATGCGAACAGGACCTGGCTTCAAACTAGCTCTCAGTTCCAACAGTGTGTCCAATATTTCTTGATTTGAGCTATTTCGTTGGAGGACAATCAATATTGTTGTTGGCAAAGGGCGATTATAATTTATCAGTGAGAGCTCGGACCTCCAACCTTAAAGCTGCGCTAGACCCCACTTTTGGGTGGAAACATGTACAAGTACACATTTGTGCCTCTCCCATTTCCTTTTTTCTTTTTTTCCCTCATCAGTCTGACTTTTCCTTACATGTGTCTGTTGGACACCATGACAGTATCAGTTTAACATGATTTAAAAGCACTATATATACAGTACGCTGCACGAGGAAAGTTATACAGTTTGTTTCCTGCCTCTGAAAAAGGGCCATATTCAAAAGTGTTCTGTTTCATTTTACTGCCTCCTTTGGGGGTTATGCTGTATGTATGTTTTATCCTGGCAATGATTCTTACATTATGGTTCATTTTTAAAGGCTCTCGCTGTGATTTATAAGGAGGGAAGTCAGCACAGGGACCGCGTTTTTGGTTTCAGTACCTATGTCCATGGTCTGGCTGTGGTTTAGCCACAATAGTTCCCTAGCCACTTGCTTGTTGGCCACTTAAAAAGATACTTTAGTGATTTTCAACCAGCTTTGTATCGTAACATAGTGGGTAGCATGCATGGATTTAAAATTCATTCCATCTCACCAGCAGCCATCTCCCTGCTCCTCTCTGCTAAACTGGGGCATTTTCCTATGCCCACCACTATGGGTTAAAGAGTATAGAAGCAGATGAAGAGAGCCAACCCGCTCTCCCAAACACAGACCAAATGGTAAAACTAGGCAGTACTGACAAAAGGTGCATTTGTAAATTCCAATCTGACACTAAAATGAGAGTGCTGTTGTTCAAAGAAATGGAGCATTCTATTTCTAAATGAATTAACGAGTGCCCAGGGCATGCTCTGCTGCTCGAAGAGTGTGGCACTCTGGATAACCATGGATTCTGATACTGTATTGCTTATTTCACACCTAAAATGTCTTCAGAAACATGTTTCAGTGCACTGTTTGGCTGTAATGCGAGAATTTGTGAGCAAGAAGCGGGCGCCATACTGTTTACTGTATTGTGAAAACGAAGGCTAAAAAAAAATCCCAATCCCAATCTGAGATCAAACATTAAAACTAAGCAGTGCTGATAAAATATGAGCCAAGATTCTGCCTGTTTCACCTGAAATGTTTACAGAAACACATTTTAGTTCACTGTTTTACTGTAATTTCAGATTGTTTGTTACCAGCCAGCCGCCATATTGTGTCCTGTGGAAAAAAACTGTCAAGCTCGCATTACATCACCCACTAGTGGAAGTGTTTATTGGTCCATCTGGGTGCAATGCATTCTGGTAGTCGTAGATTTTCTCCCTTTTGAGCAAAAGCAAATGCTACAGCCCTTTTTGACTGCTTTCTCTTGTCATTTAGCACCAATTTCAAATGTATTTGCATCTTTCTACTGCGTGGACAGCCCAGTTTCATGAACCGAGCATCTTTCCAGCAGTGAAATACTAACTTCTTTAATTTTCATCTAACCAGCAGTCATCTTTCATTTGACTGACTGACTACAGTGATGCCTCAGATAGCAATATCACAACCCTAATTGAGGGGTTGTCTACATCCATCTCAGGCTTTGTGCACTTTCTGAGGGTTCTTGACCTTGTTTGTTGACTTCTTCTCATCATTCGCTGTTTGTATGACACCAGATGCCTCACACACACACACACACACACAGACACACACACACACAGAAACACACATTCACATGCATGCATGCACACTCTAATACACCGACACCCCCACCTTTGCCCCCCCTTCCAAAAACCCATTGAGTCAACTTTTCACCCCCCTCAGTTCGGACGCACACAGCTGCAAATGCTGAAATTAAAGCGAGACATTGACGCATATATTAGCATGCATTAGCCGCTTCCCCCTGCCCACTTAACATGCAAATCTCCCAGCCCCGTCGCCTCGCACCTTCTGCCACACATTCATTTGCTGAATTATAATTAGACTAATCTTGCATAATTAATAAGAAGTCGAGGACCCTCTGTTTTTTATCCCCTCCTCTATTGTGGTTGCAAAAGTTTAATATTGCTGTTGTTTGTTTTTGTTTTGGTAATGTAATACACCCACACACCTCCCCATCCAGAGGGAAGAGATGAGGAGAACATGTAAAGAATTGGAGGTGATGTTCATGTCACATGGAAATTGTAGAGAAAGACTATTTTCAAAAAACTCCACTAGCTTAAATGTGTTTATATTTAATGTGTGCCTTGTTCTTTACATTCACAGAATATTCTGTTTCATAGAGCAGGTGTAAAATGGTGATTCTGTTTGTTTAATACGCTGCTAAGTGAGGAACATAGTGTAAATAAAGCTATTGGGAAACCCCTTTCAACTTTTACCCTGTCAGATATAATGATAAATAATTTGTTGCACAAGCCAAAACATTATTCTCTTATTTTAGAAGAATATTCTCCTGTGACATTAGATTACTAACTGATATCACACTGAAACTTGATAAGCACAAACTCCTTGTGATTTTTGTTCAATGACAAATTTAAAAAGCATTTGAAAGTCTTATCTGTAGTCAGCAGTGTCTTCCACAACATCTACCCTCCACAGACACACTTAAGACAGGAAACACAAACAAAACATAGACCCAAGTCTTAAACCTTGGGATCATTTTCCACTGCAGCACCACAGGGAGTCTGTTTTTTTTTCTGTCTTCACTTCTGCATCTCTGTCAAGGCCTTCAATCCCCTTTGTCTGCATCTGCTTCAGTTCCCAAGACTAAACACAGGCCTCGCAGCGTGAGGCAGCCATCCCAATGGTGACAACATGCTTAACTTAAACTAGTTCAACGACCAACCAGCAAGTCACGGCACTGGAGACAATAGCAGAAATTCAGTTTTTGTAAATATTTCACCCCTCGACACAGACCCTTAGTTTCACGTTTCTCAGTCCGTTCGAGCATCTGTTACGCATAAGTGTTACACACTGAGTGTTACATATGGCCTTAATCATGCAACGAGCACCTAAGAAGCACAGGACCCCTAACAAAAATTTTCATAGCCATTCATCAGCACTAATCGCTGTTGACATAAACTGCCTTTTCACATAGACATAAAACACATCGCCCTCTGTGCTCATTGTAAATGAAGGTTTACTGGTCGCAGCAGCTCTTGAAGCATGTGATGCAAAAAGGCTTTAACACAGAGTTCAAGAAGCAGCACAGCTAGAAAACTTTCTCCACTCATCTCCTTTTCTGGGATTTGGCTTTGGCCTTCCAGTTTTTGGGGTTACTGCACCAAAGACGACAAATTTATGCTTTAATACAAAAATATGGGAGGGGAAAATTTAAGGAAAAGAATGAGGAGGAGGTCATATTTTTTGTTCAGCGGACGTGGATGCCCTGCTGCTCAGCAAAGAAGAGGGAGCTGCTCCTCCTCATCCATGTAGCTCTAATCCCCTCCATAATGCTCAATAGCCATTGATTGCAAGAAATACGAGAGACAGAGCAATAGAGAAACAGATAGATGGAAAACAGGGGAGGCAAAGACAGAGGAAGAGAGGGAGAATGTTGATGTCCTGTATTCAGGGCCATCACTCATCAGACATCCCCTTCATCACCCCCCCGCTCGCTTGAAAAAAC